GTAGACTGCAAATTGACCGCAATAAGCCCAAACAGATGTAATATTTGACTAAAACATTATCATTTCAAACCTTGCTTACATTTGTATACGATCACGTGTCTCTCTATGATGCAGGGGAATACTTGGGAACAGATTTCCTAAATTAAAATCACTTGGAGCTGATTTCCTGGTGTTTTTACAGTCTTTTATGACCAACAATGAAAATCCCCCCCTCAGAAAACTTGGGGGGCCAAATAAAACAATTTGCGGGCCTGTTGTGGAACCCTGCTATAGGATATTGCATGTCACTCTGTCTGGACTCACCTTTTCTTAGGTGCGTCTCCACCTGAGCCTCCCTTATCACTCAGCCTCCTCTGTCTGAGTGTCTTTGCTTTGGCCTTCCCACCTTTGGCTTGACCATCCCTCTTCTCTTGGTCAATCTCTTACAGTGCACACTGTAAATACAGACCAATTAGCTAGCAGAATGATTTGCTACCTCAACAGGTGGTAGCCCTAAACTGACAAGCATGGAAGTGAGGTACAAATTACATAGACAAATCAATACGTGCATTTCCTGTGATTTGCTCTGAACAAAAGATATTAAGTGCTGAGATGGTTTGCTAGTGCGAGCAACATATCCAGTGCACATGGGTATTTTATTTATTTATTCCTGGGGTCAAGCAAAATTAAGGCAGTTATATACAATTAAAAACATTACATTACATTACATTTCACAACAGATTTTACAACACATTAAGTGTGTGCCCTCAGGCACATATCTACGTGTGTGTATAGTGCGTATGTTCTCGTGTGTGTGTATGCGTGTCTGTGCCTGTGTATGTATTTTTATATTTTTATTTGATCTTACTGCTTGCATGAGTTACTTGATGTGGATTAGAGTTCCATGTAGTCATGGCTCTATGTAGTACTGTGCGCCTCCCATATTCTATTCACAAGATCTCTGGTGGGATGTCTTGTGGGGTATGCATGGGTGTCTGAGCTGTGTGCTAGTAGTTTAAACAGACAGCTCGGTGCATTCAACATGTCAATTAGCCCCCTAGAGTCGATGTCCACGTCCCCGCGGAAATCTAATTTGCATAATAATAAAAAAACATACAAATCTCTCAGTTTAAACTAGAGATATCTGCGGGGTTTTTTGCATTGGATGTGTCTCAATCCACCGCTTCCGCTGATGTCGCACTTCCGCATCTGCGGTGAAAGGTGACAGAGCTAGAGCAGTGATTGTCAGACCATGAGACATCCCGAAAATCGGTCTTCTCACAAAATCGTCTGTAGCGTCCGAACAGGCTACACACTAATATGACCCCTCTGTGGAAAGGTAAGAATCTCACGAACATGTACATGTCGGTTGTAGTGCACTACTTTTGACCAGGACCAGGGCTGTACAGTGAATTAAGACAAAACCACAAGTCCAAATCCCCATCTCCATCCATGGCTTAGGAAAGGGATGTTTAGCAAGCTAGCTACTGCAGGACATCAACACAAGCAGACCAGAAACGAAAATGACGTTTTGCTTAGGATGTGATTTGATTGGTGAGAAACCAAATCCAAACTGGCCTCCCTAAAAATGTTATCATGGGGGGCCAAATGCTTGCTGGCACCAATCAATCACATGCTACGGCCGCAACATGTCATACTCTTTTGGTCCAGACAGCATCAGATACAGTACATGGGCTACACATACTGAGACAGAGGGGTGCTGTTTCCCTTGCTCGGATGATTTCTCTGGTGAGAACAAATCTCTGCAGCATTAGTAAAGATATGATCAATACATGAATAATAGTGAAGACATCAAAACTATGAAATAATACATACGGAATCATGTAGTAACCAAAAAAGTGTTAAACAAATCAAAACATATTTTATATTTGAGATTCTTCAAATAGCCACCCTTTGCCTTGATGACAGCTTTGCACACTCTTGGCATTCTCTCAACCAGCTTCACCTGGAATGCTTTTCCAACACCCTTGAAGGAGTTCCCACATATGCTGAGCACTTGTTGGCTGCTTTTCCTTCACTCTGCCATCCGACTCATCCCAAACCATCTCAATTGGGTTGAGATCGGGGGAATGTGGAGGCCAGGTCATCTAATGCAGCACTCCATCACTCTCCTTATTGGTAAAATAGCCCTTACACAGCCTGGAGGTGTGTTGGGTCATTGTCCTGTTGAAAAACAAATGATAGTCCCACTAAGCCCAAACCAGATGGGATGGCATATCGCTGCAGAATGTTGTGGTAGTTTTGGAAGCGCGAGTACTACAGGCAATGTGTTAATAGAACTTCGGTAGCGTTTTCCTCAGATTTGCTTTGTTATAGTCCCCAGCTACAATAAATGCAGCCTCAGGATAAGTGGTTTCCAGTGTAGTTCCTTGAGGGCCGTCGTGGTATCGGCTTGAGGGGGAATATACACGGCTGTTACTATAACCGAAGAGAATTCCCTTGGGAGGTAATACGGTCGGCATTTGATTGGGAGGTATTCTAGGTCGGGTGAACAAAAGGACTTGAGTTCCTGTACGTTATCACAATCACACCATGAGTAGTTAATATTGAAACATACACCTCCGCCTTTCTTCTTCCATAAGAGTTCTTTTTTCATGTCTGCACGATGTACTGAGAACCCAGCTGGCTGTATGGATGGGAACAGTATATCCGGAGAGAGCCATGATTCCGAAAAACAGAGTATGTTACAGTCCCTGATGTCTCTCTGGGAGGAGATCCTCGCCCTGAGCTTGTCTACTTTATTGTGCAGAGACTGAACATTAGCGAGTAATATACTCTGAAGCGGTGGATGGTGTGCACGCCTCCTGAGTCGGACTAGAAGTCGGACTAGAAGTCCACACCTCCACTGTGGAGCTCTATTTGCCTTCTGGTATGCCCTATTATAATACTCTTAAAGAACAGACTGTAAAGTGTTAAATGCATTCTTACTTCCTCTCTCTCTTGATGTAGGTTATAACTGATCTGACGACTGGATTGGCGTAAGCAAGCATTTTACACAAAACAACCACATACTGTATCATAGCAAGTAAACACTTTCCTCAGTAAAGCAGCTATCAGCATATCAGCAAACCAGTGGCGGTCGTGCCATTTAAGATGAGGGAGGATGATCTTTTTTTTATGAGCATGGCCTTATTTCTATTACAGCATATTGGATGACTGTCATTCATATTCCATTCACCCAGCTCAATGTAACATCGATAGGTTTAGGCTACGACATGATACTCAAATTTTCCCCGTACCCATCATGAGTTTGCTACACCCTAGCCTATGAATTAAAGTTTACAAGGTAGGTGCACAGGTCGAGAGAATTTTGAGTAATCAAGGTTAACAGACAGTGACACATTCACTACCGCCTTGCACACTCTTGCCTGCATTTAGCTGATCTAGTGTGTAACCATTAGTCCAACTGTTGCAACAGAGTTTATATTGGACAAATTCAGGTATATTTATCCCTGTTTCGTTCCGTTTGCTTTCATTTAAGAAACGTTTTTCAAAAGAATTGGTGGAATGAATACCACAATGATCACACGGAAACAGTTAACTTTCATAGCAGCTACATAAAAACAGCATAATCACTTTGCTCGTTCTATATATAATTCTTTCTCACAACTATCTACGTGCTCTCCTCCTCTCACCTTTTCCCTTAGCTTGTGGACTTCAGTGCACAACACATCAGCTGTCTTTGACCAGGTGAAAAAACCTTTCCAAGCCAAACCTTCATCACATGACCACTAACCGCTACAAACAGCCTACATCATTGTCATGTCATAGTCAACTAGAACTAACGCGATAGTAAACCCGCTACAATCATGCAGTACAGTGTACAGTCAGAAAGCAGTTCAGCAGTTACACCGGCAGGCCCCGGTGGCAATAAATTAATAAAACCAAAAGCTTACCTTAACTTGGAAGAGACTAGAGTTCCAGCGTTGGATAGCCATAGCCAGCTAGCTAACATAGTATCCCTCTCTGTTTGAGCCGGGTGTTTGAGTAAGCTAAACTAGCTAGCTGCATTTGCTAGCTAAGTGAAAAATACTACCAAATATAGCTATCTCTCTCTCTCTCTCTCTCTCTCTCTCTTGCTTCACCTTAATTTTGGAAGACATTCATTTGTTCAAAACTGTTCCAACTATTGTCTTTGTCTCTCTTAGAGTCAACTACTCACCACATGTTATGCACGGCAGCGCTAGCTAGCTGTAGCTTATGCTTTCAGTACAAGATTAATTCTCTGATCCTTTGATTGGGTGTACAACATGTCAGTTCATGCTGCAAGGGCTCTGATAGGTTGAAGGACGTCCTCCGGAAGCTGTCATAATTACTGTGTAAGTCTATGGAAGGGGGTGAGAACCATGAGCCTCCTAGGTTTTGTATTGAAGTCAATGTACCAAAGGAGGACAGAAGCTATCTGTCCTCTGGCTACACCATGGTGCTACCCTACAGAGTGCTGCTGAGGCTACTGTAGACCTTTATTGCTAAACAGTGTGTTTTAATCAATGATTTGGTGACGTTAATATATTTAGTGTAGTTTTATCTAAAAATTATTTAAAAAAATAATGTTTCACTATTTTTACTTTTATGAAATTCACTGAGGAGGATGGTCCTTTTTTATGGGGGCAACCATTGAATTAAATATGTATTTAATAAAGTCTTATTTTAGGGTCATATACATATTTTTGGGGGGGTAGTCTGGGTGGAATTTTCGTTTCACCATATTACACCTATCCACTCTTTTCCAATTCAATTTTTATATTTTTGTTACATAATTGCTCTCCCATACACAAGAAGCAAAGGTCGACACCTGGAATAAAAAGTAGATTCCAAGACCTAGCATTTTAAGGTGGGGAGACTGTCATTGGGAGAACAGGTTGGAAAACATCTACAAAAACGGCCGTTATTTATTCTCGGTTGTGAAAGTACTGTCTCTTTAATAAGATACCGGAACAGATTGTGTTGAGTTCCGGTGTTACGATTTACAACTGTAAATATTGAACTTCCAGACTGCGATGATACCCCAGCACATAATTTGTACATTGCGCAGTGGTGTGAGGTGCTGGCAACATCGAAGTGTTTTGGGAACGGCTTTACTGCTCGAGGCCTTGGACTTTCGAAGCGTGCGCTGTCGGTGTACCTCGCCTGGCCCTGTCAGATCCATGGAGGAAATACTGACGAGGGTTGTGGTACCATTACCTACATACGAGACGAGAGAGAAGTCCCCGCCTCCCCCTGAATCGAACAGTGTGGAATTTATGAATTTCTACAGAAGCCTTGAAAAGGAAGAGAAGTCACAATTACTGGCAAAGTTGTCACACGATTTTGGTGTTGACCACAAAGGAGTTTCAGAGCTAGCAGGAAAGCTGCTCGACACTCAACAAAGGGACTTGGCTACAATACTGCAAGTAGAGGACAGGTTACGATACAGTCTGACTCCTCGCTATAAACAATTGCTTAATCACATAAGTAGGGTGGAATCGGGAGTGAAGTTTCTGGTGGACCTACGTGCCGATCTGCTTGAAATAATCTCATCTAAAGCAAGTGACAGTCCTCATATTCGGGTAAAGCCATTGTTTACAATTTTCTATGGTGGCCAGCTAATGTCAATTCTGTCGCGCGTTTTGGAAATATTTGACAGGTGTAGCCAGGAATTCTATACAACAGCACACGTGTTTCCCACCTTGGAATCGACTGTCATTCCTTCTGAGCATTTGGGGAATTGCTACGCAAAAATAGTAACTTTCACTATAACAGGGAGGCAGTTCTACCATAACCAGACAGGTGTGATTGAAAATGGAAGTGTTTCCAATGGAAATATGGAATATAGCTAACATAATACACGTGATTTATTTACAAACAAGCTAATAGATGACAGATTGCCATCTTTAATGCCAAGAAACAAAATACACGAAATAGGTTCATAATATAATGTACCCAATGAATAGGTTCAATGGAAAGTTGTGTGTCAAAAGTTTTAATCAGGTGCAGGCCTATGAATGTACCTACTAAATAAAGTGTTGGCATTTTGAAAAGGCCTATCTACGTTGTATGACGTGGAAGCCCCCCTTGACTTACATTGGTATGGGTGTCCCATTTCAACCGACTGCTAGAGCAGTTCAGCGCTGATGACTTTTACCCTAGTGAAGAAACGTACTGTAGTTTTATTTTTTAAACGTCATGACCATCGGACAATCTAACCAATTCTATTTACTGTTATCATAGCATACCTTCTGGGTGATTCTCATGAAACCAGTTTTAAAATGTCTGTAGCAAATTGAGTTACAAAACCATGATGCATCTGCAAAAAAACCAACAATCATTCTGAGGTTTCTAGTTTTCGGGAAAGTGTCTTATTTTAAATAAATGGAAAGTTTTCGCCTGAATTTCGCACATTTTCACACCAAATTCTCATTACCGAAATGTGTCCAGATTAAATTCTCAGCCAATTTTATACAAAACATTATTTAGAAAACCTAACTTATTTCAATAAAACACAAAATATGTTCCTGTAGTTTGTCCATAAATCATAAAAATTGTATACTAGTTGAAGTTGACATTAAACTAATATTTATTACATACAAACACAGTGTCTGTGGACATATCTCATTGCTATAACACATTTTCAAGTTCCTGTAAAAATTCCAATCAGTTTTTAAATAGTTTTATTCTCCCATGATGCATTATCTAGAGGAGTAGTCCTCAGATGAGCACACGTTTTATGTTAATCTATTCGCTTTTATGCCTTCAGAATGAGGTTCTTATTCTCAAAATACCCTTTACCCCACTTGGCCTTCTCATTACCAAAACGGCTAACGTGCTCAAATCGGGAAAAAGTGTGATTTTAATTTGATAACAATTGTATAATTTAATTTGAAATATTTGTATTTTCAGTGTTATGTTTAACTCAGGCCTTTTCTTTAGGGGAGCAATGTTTAAAAAATATTATAAATATTGATTTATTTATAACTTTTTTGGACTTCGAAAACTGTTACGTTAATGAGACTTTTTTTTTAATGATTGTAAAATGCATAATATCTGATTTAAAAAAAAAACATAATAATTATGAAATAGATTAAGTACAGATCCTAATCTTAGTGAAAAATTACACCTGAGAATGTTTTGTTTGTTTGGAAGAATGACCCTCCTACAGCATTGGCCAGGGTTAAGCAACCCTGTTCCTGGAGATGGGCAGATACTACAGGATTTTGTTCCAACTAGGCACCACACCTGACCAACTACGCTAATTGATCAGTTCAGTGATTGCCTAAAATCAACACACCTGGTCTTCCAGGTTGGTTAATTCAAAAACATGAAGTGACTGCGGCACTCCAGGATCAGGGTTGCCTACCCCTGGCGTAGGCGATCTCCCTTCTCTAAACTTTTACCCACTTTTCGAGGTCAGAAGTGACTGTTCTGTTTGGCTATCACCTCAGACATGTTCCATGGAAAGGTCCCTGGGGGTAATACTGTATAGATATGCCAGCTGTTTAAATATCAGTCCCAGGGGCGGACTGTTTTTACGGGCTGGTCCACTTTTAGCCTAGTGGGCCTGTCTAACTTGTTTTTTTTTATCTTCACAAAATGTGAAAACATCTCGCCATCTCTGGGCTTACTGCCCTAGTGGATCACGCCACCAATTAGTGATAGCAGTAAATTACAGCGATTTGACATGATCACGAGTGTCTTCAACTTTTTTCTCTCCAATGTACGAATATAAACGTACATCTTGTATAATACTTCTACATCTTTATTGCTGTGAAAGCACATGAATGTGTATTAAATGGATAGACAAACATTTAGGATTTTGTCATATGCGAAAACATGCCTTTTTGAATTTAGTAGCTAGTAGCCTAGTCAAGGATGCATCATGCAATATTGGGACACTATACTTTACAGACCTAGTGGAACAAAAGTAAACCTTGAATTTGGAGGTTTAAAATATCCCTGTGGTGGCCAAGTTGATCTATTTTATGAAATGCCATTGGTTGGTGGATATAAAGTCTAAGGTCTTTGACAGACTGATGCGGAATTTGTAAAATAAAAAAAAATAAAAAAATAATACAGCTGGTGAGGTTAGCATACGGCTAACGTGTGCCAGGTTATCTGATGGGACCAGCTACAAAGTAACGTTCTATCACGCGCAACTACGTCGACCGTTCATAATTGGCTGATGCACATTTTGAGACTGAGGTCCAGGTTCAACATAAACTTTTTCTAATGTTCGCATGTATGGCCCCTCTTAAAAATTGAATAAGTGAGAGTAAATAAGAGCCTCTCACCTACAATAGAATGTGTGCGTGGGAAGAAAGAGGGGTTTTCATAATCGTTATGGTAATTAAAACATCAGAAAGACGAGCAGAAAAGTGATTAAATAAATTCTGAAATATCAAATAGGCCTAGCCTAATAAAAGTTTGAAATGGTCAAGACCAATGTTCCCTCAAAAACGTTTTGGGCACTGAGCACAAACTTGAACATTGTGAAAATTCTGTGCAACTTCCAGCGAGCGTTTACTGTGAACACTGATGCTGTACCCGCTTTAAGTTAGTTTTAACAGTGGCAATGTAGGATACTGTGGCTATTTGATCATAATGTAGGCCTACCAGAGTGGCCTACCATCAAAAACAATGGAGAAAATGCATCCCATAACATTTTAACATGGAAATAGCTGTTATATCATTCACCCACAGTAGCAGCCAATGTGTGGTGTTCAATGTAGGCCTACATTCCATGAGACTTTTGAAAAAAAACATGCAGGGCTTGACATTAACCTGTTTATCCACTTGTCCTTCAGACAAGGAGGTGACTGAAAATGTGTTGTTTGATGCAAGAAACCACTTTACAAAATAAAATGCATTATTATTCCCTTACCATTATTACAGAGAATCAGACAAATTATGCTACCCTCTGCCTATTGGCTACTAAGCTTATTCAAGCATGTCTTAAAATGCAACACTGCCCCTTTAAGACAGAAATAAAGCTCTTTACCTGACTCGCTTTTCAAAGATGTCTAGAAATGTATACGTTTTGTGCTCTTGTAGGAAGCAATCACTCCCCTATTGCTGTGTACAAGTGATCTATAAATGGGCTAATAACTCACTAACTAGCAAAGGATATGAACAAAATGTGCACACTTGGCTACATGCACTTCTCGATTTGATCTCAAAACAAGCGCATCTACCCCCGACCGCTCATGCTGTAAACGCAGTCCAGTTCAAATTAAATGGCACAGATCCATATATGGCAATGGTCTATTTGCATATAGGCCTACTGCAGCTCTGATTGTTTATGCCGCACCGGTCTGTGTAGAGTACGGGCTGAGTTGTGCATTCTGCCTACAACAAAATCTCTTGCATAGTTCGTTTTGTTTCGGTATGTTGCATTGAAAGTGGCTAATATTGCGTTGAATCGATCACAATTGCCACAGTAAAGGGAAACGTTGATAGTGTTAACAGGGAAAACTCTAGAACAGTGGTCACCAACCTTTTCTGAATCAAGATCACTTTGAGTCAAAATGCACGATGACTTAAAAAACGTAAGCCTATGCAACATTAACCAATTAAAAACAGTACTGTAGCAATGAGGTTTGTGTAGTAAGGTATAGGCCCAATACATTATCACCTCATATTGGCCGTTGTTGTATTACTTGTGAAGTACAGCTGAGTGAGCATACATTTAAATCATTAGCTTTTTATTTTTATTTTACTGGGCTGATGGTGCCTGCATCTGATGGTCAGTCTCAGCTGAGGAAGGGAGAACCAGACTGAGAGTCTGCCTCTCAACATCCCTCCGCTCTCGCTTTCCTCCACAGACACTGACCAAAAAGGGACAACTGATGGCGAAACTCAAGTCGCACTGCATTATTTCATGTTGTTACTCCTATGAACAGAGAAATAAAATATTCCTTGATATTAAAAAATACCCAAGCCGCTAATAATAACAACAACGCAAGCATATAGATACCAGTGAGGCGCTGAGGGGAAGACGGCTCATAATAATGTCTGTAATGGAGCGAAAAGAATGGCATCAAACACATGGAAACCATTTCATGGCTTATAAAAGTGTTGAAACAAAGTGTTGAGTAAGAACTTAAACATGAACACACTCATAAAAACAGCATATTTTTGCTGTATTCGTTGACGGTCTCGCTCTAGTCATGGTTTTAAACGTTTTGAAATCTCACAGTATCAGTTTTGCTGTAGCGTTCTTTTATGCCTGCTACATTACTGCAGACATGGTCATCTGAGCCATCCGATTGGCCAGCGGTAGGCCTATAGTGCACTTGATATGCTCTCTGTGCCCGCCAGGAAGGCAGAATTTGTACCTTCAGGCACATGAAATGGTTAAAAATGGCAACAGTTCGCCTACCCGATGCGCAGGGCAGCTGAATCGGGTGCATCTACCGCCAACAGCCCTAGACGAATACAAATAAATAGGAACACAAGGCTTTATTGTTGGGTTTTTTACAGAAATGTTTGGAGATCGACCAGTCGATCGTGATCGACCGGTTGGTGACCACTGCTCTAGAAAGTTGAGTAAAGTTCAATCTCGTGCTTCTCTCTGTGGGCTGATATTTCTGCGCGGCAGTCTTGGGCTACTGCGCCACACACGCAGCTTAGAGGGAACATTGGTCAAGACTGCGGTTGCTAAGGTTCTTTAGAAGTGTCACTTTGAATTCCACAGTATATTTGTTTCCTGCTGTTGGTCTATCGATTTTATTTTCTCAACGTTTTCATTCTTCTTCACCTGTGCACACAATTACCTTGGAGGTGAGAGATGAGGAAAATAACTGGGATTCATAATATACTTTTACTGTGAATTTAGTTTAGTGGTCTCTCACATTTGAACGTTAGTTGTGGTTTGTCACAGAGGCAATTTTAGCCTGAGTCTGTCATGTCATCTAGGCCTACTGGAGCAAAAGGCACATAGTGAAGTGGGGGCTGAGGGGCTGTCCTGTTGCACCCTGGAAACTTTGGCTGCACAACTGAATAACTTTGGCTTTGGTTCCTGTTTTATATGCATCACAGTTTCCTTCTGGTTCTCTTTGTGCATGCAATCTAGCAAATGTGTAGCTACTGTGTAGCAACTGTGTAGCAACTGTGGCATACAAATATACAAATTCCTAATTTTACTGATATGAAAGACTGAAGTAATTTTCTCTCAAGGATTTGATTCTCAAGCTTTTTTCAAAGGATCACATTATTGTCACAGCCATTCAGGCTAGAGAAGGTGGGTTAAACAATTGAATTCGTTTGATTCCTCTTCTCTCGCTCTCCCCTCCCCTCTACTTCCATGTCACTAAACCTAACGAATGTTGATGAAATACAGATTTTCCCCCGAGTTTATTTTCTTTTGTATGACTAAGAATTGTGAGCTCCTTCCACCCAGAGGCAAGGCGGCAGCTGCGGTTTTATGTGTCCACACAGCATGATATCAACGCTTTTTCAGGGTTTATCAATCTCAGATTTAATTATTACTTTAAGCAGATGTTTTTGTTCAGAGTTAAATAAAAAAGCTATTTGTGTTTTAGTGTCAGCCACACTATAGCATCTACTCCCGAGTGGCGCAGTGGTCTAAGGCACTGCATCGCAGTGCTAGCTGTGCCACTAGAGATCCTGGTTCGAATCCAGGCTCTGTCGTAGCCGGCCGCGACCGGGAGACCCATGGGGCGGCGCGCAATTGGCCCAGCGTCGTCCAGGGTAGGGGAGGGAATGGCCGGCAGGGATGTAGCTCAGTTGATAGAGCATGGCGTTTGCAACGCCAGGGTTGTGGGTTTGATTCCCACAGGGGGTATGAAAAAAATAATAATGTATGCACTAACTGTAAGTCGCTCTGGATAAGAGTGTCTGCTAAATGACTAAAATGTAAATGTAAATGTACAGTCTACATCCTGTGTGGTTCTGATTAGTCTCCCTCATGACAGACTAACAATAGAGTAGCTGGCCAAAGCGCACAATAACTTTACTTCTGAGTTCTGAAGTTGTTACCCCCCCCTTCACCTGCAGGACCTGAATGGCACTCTGAAGAGTCTGCTCTCTGAGTGGTTCTCTGTGGGTCTGCTGCGTCTGGAGAGGATCACCTGGCAGTCCCCCTGTGAGATACTGCAGAAGATCAGCCAGTAAGAAGCCCCTGTAGTAAACACACACACACTTCTACAGTGTGCATACACCCTAAACCCATATCTAACCATCACTATGACCTGTCAGGTACGAGGCTGTGCACCCTGTGAGGAACTGGACAGATATAAAGCGTAGAGTTGGGCCGTACCGTCGCTGCTATGCCTTCACCCATGCTGCCATGCCAGGGGAGCCACTGGTCGTCCTGCATGTGGCACTTACAGAGGACATCTCTGATAACATACAGGTGAGAGGTTTATATGGAATATGAAAGAATGCATAAATTGATAAGTTTGTTTAGCTGTCATGTGGATTTGTATTACTTTTCCTCTTTTCAGGTCATGAACCACAGTTTGATAATTGACTGTATGTCTGACTCCAACAATGTTGTTTCTCTTGTCCAATAGAGTATCGTGAGAGAGTTTGCTACTCTAGACTCAGAGGAGGATGTGAACAAAGTCAATACAGCAGTGTTCTACTCCATTTCCTCCACCCAGGCTGGCCTACAGGGGGTGGAGCTGGGGAACGTCCTCATTAAGAGAGTGGTGCGGGAGCTGCAGGTGGGTGGAGAATGACATCACATCACCACTGTCTAAATGAGCAGGCTGACAGAAACACTGGGACTATCTGAACACTGTGGAACGTCTCCTAGGCAAATCAGCTGCTGCTCTGCATCGTAATTGGTTGATTTATTAGCCAGCTCCAGGGTCAGAGTCCTTTACGCTCTGTTAGTCACTCGCTTCAATGTCGCCTGATAACTTCCATTCACTCTTCCAGAGAAGTTCCAGAGAACCACAACCACTCACGTCACCAAGCATTTCTTGCCACAGCCAATAAACAGATGGCAGTCAATCACAGCAGTAGTTCAACATGAGCTGGAGGTCATTTCAGTGTGAAAGGAGTGGTTATTATGATAAGATAACCATAGCATGTTATATAACCTAGACAAGCTAATATTTTGATTGCTCTTAGTCTTGTGAGTTTCTCAATTAAGCCAAATACTCTCTCACAATCTAGCAGTTCTACCTACATCTGAGATGTGTTTTTGAGGGTAAAGAATGGATAGCAGCATGATTGAATAAACATCTCCACACATCAACCAAGACCGAGAGTGAAATAATTACATTTCAGCTGGTTTTGATGTGAGGGTTGTTGATAGTCTGATAGAGTATAGGCTTGTATGCTTAGAGTAGGTGGTCTGTGCAGTTGTGTGTCTTGTTGATTTGTACAGTAGCCCTATTTACATTCAGTAGCATATATGCGGTAAAGGAGTCAATGGAACGCAGACAATTCCATTGACCAGATTGGCGCACATTCAACAAATTGGATCTAACAAAGTGGATATTCGTCAAATCCGTCATGATTTATGTATTGTAACAGGCCCACAATGTGGTTACTTAAGTCCGATTTGGATATATTTGGGTTTATAAGAATGACTGCTAAATGCTAACTCCTGTTCATATAAGATGGTTAGCATAGCTAGCATACAGAAATTGTTGGTGGTAGTCAGTCGTTTTTAACTGTAATGCAGTTGATTGGTGACAATGACATGAACGTGTTGGGGTTGGCATCCATACAAATATTGTACTTAGATTTGTACCTCAACAGTGTGAAATACATATATAAACAATAGCCTAAAATGTAGGCTAATTTTGCTGGTGGGCAATGAGGAGATTCTGGATTTTCCCCCGTGCATTTCCATGGCAATTCCATTGTTTTGGTCGAGTTCGAGTGACCTCTTTACCGCATCTATTAGTCTTGGCCTGAGTATTCTAGCCTTTCCATTGTTCTGTCTGTACTCTTAACATTGGTTAAGTTGATCTATGGAGTTCTAGGGATGTACATTGTTCTGTAGGGCTTGAACCTCTTATCTGTAGTCACAATTCCATCTGAACTCTGTGGATATCAAATTGAAGCTGAAACTTGATTTTGTTTTACAAAGCCTTTTCTTGTGGCCGATGAGATTTATCCCAAGGTCACCCTAATAGCCCTCATATCAGTTGGGGGGGACAAAACTAAGTAAGTTGAGCTTCTGGGCTGGCTCATAACTATGACTGTGTGCAGTGCCATGGCAGTGTTAAGCCCCACATTAAGGGGAATAGAAAAGCTCCACAGCCGCTGAGAGACCACTATAATAATGGATGGATGACAGGGAGGAAAATAAAAGGTCATGCTGTGATTTAGGAAGAAGGGAGGAGGATCCCGTTGTCTTTCAGCATTACACCCTGGGGCCATTTACTGTCTCCCTCATTCTGCCTGTCCTTATCTCTCAGGTCTCTGGATTGCATGCCTGCTCTAAGCCTGCTGACCAAGGTTTTACAGTAAATTAAACAGATGAAATGAATGGAAAGTGACCTCTTGACATGGTTCTCCTCTGATCCACTGACTCGTGTGATGGAAGTACAGGGGAATGAATGAGAAAGAGGCTGAGAAAGAGAGTGGGAGAAGGAAAGGCACACTCCAACATCTGCTTCCAGGGGTTGTCTGACACACTTTGCCTCCTTTGAATCAATACTCCACACAGCTCTGTATCTTATCAGCCTTGACAAGCAAGAGCCAACATAACAGAGAGGGAGAGAAAGGCCAGGGAATAGAAGAGAGAGGACAAGGATGAGAGCTTGTCAAGAAGGGTAAGATAGAAGAGAGTGTGGAATGTAGGCGGCAGATAGGCAGCATGCGATGATGGCAGAGGCGCTAGGGAATAAGGACCAGAATCAAGTGAGAGAGGAACGGAGGGCAGGGTACACACTGCATAATGTAAGCCTTAATATCTTAATTGAGTGATAATTCACTTCGTGTTTTTCTTCTTACCAAGTTAAATTATCTAATGTCATTGACAGATCATTTTGCTTATTATAATCTAAAAAAGGCTTAATACAAGTACTTCTTTTACAATTTCTAGATATTTTATCTTAATAAGATGATGTATTTCTATTCGCTCTATAATGCCACATTGGTATTGTTTATTAACTGGTGGAGACTAAGTTGTTTTAGACTAAGGATGTTTACCTCAGACTATCTTTCTCTGTCTTTGCAGAGTGAGTTTCCCCACATGTCCCAGTTCTCCAGCCTGTCTCCCATCCCGGGCTTCTCCTCCTGGCTACAGGGCCTGCTCAGCCAGCACCGGAAGGAGGGCCGCATGGAGCTGCTAACTGACTGCGAGTGGAGGAAGGTGGCAGATGTCACAAACACAACCCCTGATACCAACGCCCTGGATGCCCTGCGTAAATTGATTAGCACCGGCGACTGGACACGTTCTGAACGACTGGTCCACGTCCTGGAACCCGTCCTGATGCGCCTCTGTGCCTGGTACCTCTACGGAGAGAAGAGGCGCGGCTACGCCCTAAACCCTGTGGCCAATTTCCACCTGCAGAACGGCGCCACCATGTGGAGGCTGAACTGGCATGCAGACACCAGCCCGCGAGGAGTGGTCAACTCCTGTGGCATCATGGTGAACTACAGATACTTCCTGCAGGATACCCTGTCCAACAGCGCTGCCTACATGCACAACAAAGTCATCACAGCCACAGAGCAGGTGCTGGGCTTGGTCTCACAGTTTCAGAAGAACAGCAAACTCTGAGCTCCATGGACACACTTGTACCCACACACACACACACACACACACTTGGTATAAAGATGCCTCTAAATCCAGGACTTGCTGGCTTCACAGTGGCTCTGATCTAATTTGCCCAAACAAAACACGTTGAAAAGCGTCAGGACAATTTATGGAATGATATCAGTTTTTGTTCTATTATTTTTGCAATCTAGCCCATGTAGCGCGTAGATTTTGCTCTCCCTCTTTCCCGGGGTGGGTATGTAGTGTTATCATCACCGATAGACTCCCAGTGTTTAATGGTGTGAGAGACTGCAGCGAATGAAGCGAGAGACATTTATCAGGCCGTGCCATGTTTCTGTTTGACAATGTGTGATGCTGTAGCACAGCAAATAGGCTGCAGAGCTATTGGAATAAATGATGTTTTTGATTCTTTCATTTGGCTGATCTGTGTGGGCGTGTGTGCATGTGCAAAGCCGGGCAGGCGAAAAATAAATAACAAGACTGACACCCACATTGTATAGAATTATGTACAGCAATACAGCACCATATTATCATCTTATTGTCTCTTGGCCCCGATTGTCACACTACAATCTCTACTAATCATTTATTTACTGAAGCTCAATCAAGCTGTTCTTTAATGAGCTGTGCTCACAAGAGATTTTAACATTTTTAATTTAATTTATCTCTATATGTAAAATTGGTCACTTTCTGCAAAAGTAATTCACACCAAAATGTGTTTAGTCGCCATGGCTGAGATCGTGGTCCTCTGTAGCTCAGCTGGTAGAGCACAGCGCTTGTAACGCCAAGGTAGTGGGTTCGATCCCCGTGACCACCCATACACAAAAATGTATGCACACGTGACTGAAAGTCGCTTTGGATAAAAGCGTCTGCTAAGTGGCATATTATTATTATTATTATATTATCATAGTCCTTGCTATGTTTGCCACCTGCCAACACTCACTCCTCCATAGAGACCCATCTCTGATGTACTGCTACACCAAAATACTGAAACCAAGTGGGACTCCTATCTGCCCCCACTCCATTGTTGTGAAATAATATATCACAGCAAGCTGACTGTGAGATTACATTTTATCTCTCAAAGGAGTCAAACTTTTTTTCAGAGCCAGCCACACAGTGTCCCGGAAACTAATGAAGTGAGAAATAAAGTTTAAATAAATGGATAGATTTATGGTATTCACTTTAAAGCAGGGGAGGGAATCAGTGAGCATAAAAGGACAGTGTTTAAAGGATGCCCTTGAGAAAGCATTCCTCTCGTGAGACAGACAGGAAGAGTGAACACTTGTGAGGAATGGAAAGTCCAAGGCTGTCACACCGTTCCACAACCATGGACAGGAGTTTCCATGGAAACGGTGACATGTCCACACCTTTCCACTAAGTAAATAAATAAAATATTAACTGTTCTGCCAATACAACATCTTGAAATTAACCAATGGATATATTTCTCTCAAAAACATATACAAGCTCAAGTACATACGGTGATAAACAAAATGTTTCATATTCAGATCCAACTTGATTGACATACAGTTCAAATTGCATTTCAGTAGTGTCTATTCTTGAATGACATTGAACTCAAGAACTGGAAAAGTTGTCAAAGAACTGCAGCACTGAGATAACAGAGGAGCAATTCCACAGTAACAGAAGGATGCTGAGACTGAGATTTTTTGCTTTAAAATGAATGTCAAACAGAAACCAATGATTGAAGAGTGCTGATGCAAAGTTTGGTATCAGAATTACAGCACAAACAGCACACACCGTCATTCTGTTACCAAACTTTGCAGCAGCACTGTTCTTCAAGTAAATGTGTTTTTTTATCAAATGTTCAGTGGACATTGCTAAAAGTAGTCCTTGTGCATTGAGTTGTATGGTTTATTTAACTTTGCAATCATTGGTTTTTGGTGATGTACATTTTAAAGTGAAAAGTCTGAGTCTTAGCATCATTATGTTACTGTGGAATTGCCCAGAGATATCACAACTTTGCACTTCCACTTTCTGTCCTTAATTGTCAGGCAAGAGAAAAGAGCTATAGAACATGTACATTATGCTTTAATTGATTTGATGTGTGAATGAATATGTCAATGGTGTAAACGTATAATTTAGTGTGAGGGAATGTATAGATGTGTGTGGGCAATGTCTGAATGAGAGCATGGTCATGTTGCCATCACCATTATAGGCTGATCAATTCTATTTGAGGAGGGTACTACATGAGACGGGATAGTCTTAGAAGCACTTGAGAATCCCATAGAAAAACTGATTTATTCTAGGGAGCTCTCGAAAGATTACTAGATCTGTCAGTCACAGCATAACATTAGTATTGAAGTCCTGTAGACACATCTCACTCTCTATTCAGAATCCATCTCATGTGGCACTTGGTGCGACCACACCCACACACACAGAGCTTTCTTCAACAGTACTCAAAGGGTGATTATATATTAGGGTGCAAGGCTTTCGTTTTGCTACTTTGTAATTTTCCAAAGAAAATGCAAACTGAGTCATACAAGGTGAATGTGGTGGCATGAAGATGCAGGTGTGTTGTGAAATATGAGGCACTGCTGGCCACACTGATGACCTGGAGATACAGTACCAGTCAAAAGTTTGGACACACCTAATCATTCAAGGGTTTTTCTTTATTTTTAAAATGTTCTACATTGTAGAATAATAGTGAAGACATCAAAACGAAATAACACATATGGAATCATGTAGTAACCAACAGTGTTAAACAAATCAAAATATATTTTATATTTGAGATTCTTCAAATAGCCACCCTTTGCCTTGATGACAGCTTTGCACACTCTTGGTACTCTCAACCAGCTTCACCTGGAATGCTTTTCCAACAGTCTTGAAGTTCCCACATATGCTGAGCACTTGTTGGCTGCTTTTCCTTCACTCTGCCGTCCGACTCATCCCAAACCATCTCAATTGGGTTGAGGTTGGGGGATTGTGGAGGCCAGGTCATCTGATGCAGCACTCCATCTCTCTCTTTCTTGGTAAAATAGCCCTTACACAGCCTGAAGGTGTGTTGGGTCATTGTCCTGTTGAAAAACAAATGATAGTCCTACTATAGTCGTACTCCTGAGTGGCGCAGTGGTCTAAGGCACTGCATCGCAGTGCTAACTGTGTCACTAGAGATCCTGGTTCGAATCCAGGCTCTGTCGCAGCCGGCCGCGACCGGGAGACTCATGGGCGGCGCACAATTGGCCCAGCGTCGTCCAGGGTAGGGGAGGGAATGGCCGGCCGGGATGTAGCTCAGTTGATAGAGCATGGCGTTTGCAACGCCAGGGTTGTGGGTTCGATTCCCACGGGGGGCCAGTATAAAAAAAAAAAAATGTATTTACTAACTGTAAGTCGCTCTGGATAAGAGCGTCTGCTAAATGACTAAAATGTAAATGTAGTCCCACTAAGCCCAAACCAGATGGGATGGCGTATCGCTGCAGAATGCTGTGGTAGCCATGCTGGTTACGTGTGCCTTGGATTCTAAATAAATCACAGACAGAACCAAAAATCTCAAATTTGGACTCCAGACCAAAGGAGAAATTTCCACCGGTCTAATGTCCATTGCTCGTGTTTCTTGGACCAAACAGGTCTCTTCTTCTTATTGGTGTCCTTTAGTAGTAGTTTCTTTGCAGCAATTCAACCATGAAGGCCTGATTCACACAGTGCCCACTGAACAGCTGATGTTGAGATGTGTCTGTGACTTAAACTCTGTGAAGCATTTATTTGGGCTGCAATTTCTGAGGCTGGTAGCTCTAATTAACTTATCCTCTGCAGCAGACATAACTCTGGGTCTTCCATTCCTGTGGCGGTCCTCATGAGAGACAGTTTCATCATAGCACTTGATGGTTTTTGCGGCTGCAGTTAAAGTTCTTGAACTTTTCCGGATTGACTGACCTTCATCTCTTAAAGAAATGATGGACTGTAATTTCTCTTTGCTTATTTGAGCTGTTCTTGCCATAATATGGACTTGGTCTTTTACCAAATAGGGCTATCTTCTGTATACCCCCCCCCCTACCTTGTCACAACACAACTGATTGGCTCAAACACATTAAGAAGGAAATCAATTCCACAAATGCACTTTTATCAAGGCACACCTATTAATTAAAATGCATTCCAGGTGACTACCTCATGAAGCTGGTTGAGAGAATGCCAAGAGTGTGCAAAGCTGTCATCAAGGCAAAGGGTGGCTATTTGAAGAAACTCAAATATAAAATATATTTTGATTTGTTTAACACTTTGTTGGTTACTTCATGATTCCATATGTGTTATTTCATAGTTTTGATGTCTTCACTATTATTCTACAATGTAAAAAATTGTAAAAATAAAGAAAAACCCTTGAATGAGTAGGTGTGTCCAAACTTTTGACTTGTACAGTACATCAAGTGCCTTGGTGTAGAGGATGCTGGGCTGGGATTCGATTTGGAATTAGACAGCAACTGATTGAGACTACTTATCTGCTAGAGAGACCTGGCCGGACCCAGCTACTGTATACACCCTTTGATGTACTTCTACCGGTGAGTTCGGGTACATGCATCTCTCTGTGGGAAAAAAGTACTTGATCCCCTGCTGATTTTGTACATTTGCCCACTGACAAAGACATGATCAGTCTATAATTTTAATGGTAGGTTTATTTGAACAGTGAGAGACAGAATAACAACAAAAAAATCCAGAAAAACGCATGTCAAAAATGTTATAAATTCATTTGCATTTTAATGAGGGAAATAAGTATTTGACCCCTCTGCAAAACATGACTTAGTACTTGGTGGCAAAACCCTTGTTGGCCATCACAGAGGTCAGATGTTTCTTGTAGTTGGCCACCAGGTTTGCACACATCTCAGGAGGGATTTTGTCCCACTCCTCTTTGCAGATCTTCTCCAAGTCATTAAGGTTTCGAGGCTGACGTTTGGCAACTCCAACCTTCAGCTCCCTCCACAGATTTTCTATGGGATTAAGGTCTGGAGACTGGCTAGGCCACTCCAGGACATTAATGTGCTTCTTCTTGAGCCACTCCT